AGGAGACACGCCCCTGTGGGTGAGGTTTCTCTGGGTGGCGTTTCCGTACTCCAACCCAGCTCGCAGGAAAAGGCCGTAAGGCCGCGAGAGATGACCCGTTGCAGAATGTTTCTGCATGAGGACGGAGATGGAAGAGAAGGCAGCAGAAGAGGCGGCAGCGGCGGCAAAGGCAGAGAAGGCACGGGCCTGTTGGATGCTTTGAGCCTCCGTGGACTTGCCTTATCACGATCTTCAAGCGTCTTAGTTGTCGCTACTTTCTTTGTGCCATCACCGCCGTGATGGGACTTTAGGGTGAGCAAGTGACGGGAAGCGCCAAGGTGCGCAGGTGAATGGATTTCCGATGACGGTGCAGCTGTGCGTTCAGACAGGAACACCAATACAACTAGTGACACTGAAGGTGGTGGAGCTTTTAGGTGGCAGTGATTCAAAGGTGATCATGCGACACTGTGCGCCAGGGGAAGGGAAAGGCGGGCGGCAAGGGTGCCAAGGTTGGCGGAAAAGCGCAGCCTGGAGAGATGAGTGTGGCTGGGCTGCATTGGAGGGCTTACTCTCTCATACTTTAAGATTGCTTTGTCGAAGCGCTTCCACAATCAACATTCAAACGGCCACACATTTGCATTGTGATTTTGGCATGCGGACTCCTGTCTTCACCTGCTGTTTCTCCAAGGTGAAAGATCTGATGAAGGAGGAGGACGTGACCCAACTGTGCCTTGCCCACCCCTTCTCTCACTCATCGCTATGCGCGTCGCCGATCCCGCGCCAGGAAGCCCCGCTCGTCGAGGACGCTTGGACGCCTGGACGCTTGGACGCTTGGACGCTTGGATCAGTCGGGATGGACTTCTCATTCGCTGGCAAACAGTGTTGGCTCAAGCGAGCATCGGCTCAAACTCCGCGGCTTTGTTTGAAAAATAGTCTGTGCTTGCAAGGCCATGTTTCTGATCCTGGCCTTTTGCTTCTTGGTCGCTGATGGATCGCGCGTGGCAGTGCACGAGGGCAGCCAGGTGACAAAGAGCCAGGACTGCGATCTCGAAGGATGCGTTACACCGCTTCCGGTCTGGAAACAGCCCTGGTGTCGCGCCAAATGCGCCCTGAAGACCGGCTGCAGCTGGGACGGGGATGAGGGCTGTGAGTATCGCGGCGGCTCCTTGCTGCAGGGAAAGGAGGCGGCTCTTGGAATTTTCTGCCGTAAATGCAACGCGGTCGACTGCAAGATTCCGGGGTGCAAGAAAATGTGCGACGAAGCTACTTGCCGCCGCTGAGAACGCCGCCCAACCCAAGTGGTGCCGGAAAAAAAAGAAGCCGTGTTGCGATGTGGATGTGCGACTTTTGAGATCTGACCACTTCGGCCTCGGCTGCTCAGCCAGTCATCATCACATTGGTGTTTTTGGGTTTGTATCAATCACGACAATTTTCGCCTTTAGCTGCCCCTTCTTTCTTTGACCTTTGGGCTGGCAGGATGCTCCTGCTGAGGCGAGAGAGATCGTTGGTGCCAATTGTTGGGCTTGGACGGGGGTAGAGGCTATCTGAGCAAGTTGTTACAAGCAGACCCTCACGCGGGAGCGCAGCCATCCGTTTTGCAACACAGCATGGAATAGCTTCTTAAGGTCTCTTGTTCGGGCAATCGGCGCTTGCTTGAGGTGAAGTGCAAAGTGTATTGTCCTTCCGAGCTTTGCAAGGCGCGGAAAGAGGTCCAGCAGGCGCTGGGATTGTGCTCGGCGGGTGGTCCGAAGCCGCATGCAGCTACTCTGTCTGAAGTTGCAATAAATTTAACTAACTTGCCATTTTGGACATATGTTTGTTCCTCCCTGGCGCGGGAGACTAGCGTTGAGAAGCTAAATAGTTATTGTCACATTGAATCGCTCACTTCCCGTGCGTACAATGACGAGCTCTTTGTGTCTAGGATTGGTCAATGATAGCCATGGTCAACAGTTCCCATTTGCTGACATCCACTCCTGTAGCCTCTGTCCAAGCCTCGTATGCATATTATCGCAATTCTGTGTGACTGGAAGTGTTTGAGTCGCCCAAGTAGTCTTTTGGTGCTGTTTCCCTTTGACCTTTTGTTCTGGAGAGAGTTTGAGGCTTTTTTGGCCTTTGGCTTCTCATTCTCAAGCCCGGAAGGGTTGGCCGTGAGGCGATGCCCTTGCTCCTGGGGCCGCCTCGAGGCGCGTCTGGTCGCTCCAGGCTTTTTGGGGTTGAAGGCCGCATTCGGAAAGCCGGAGTCGTGGATTCGAAGGCATCTCAGCGTTGGATTCTCCGCCTTTTTCCATTTGGATGCTTTTTCGGGCTCAGTTTGGCAATCAGACTCGTGGTTTTCCTGTTTCACTGTTTCGGTTGGTCTGACGTTGGAGCTGGTCTCCATGCCTATGCGTTGGAAAGCAAGGCGCAGAGCGCGTGCGCCGGGGTGCGGGGGCCCGGCGTCTTTCTCCAGGCCAACACGCCGCTTCTTCGCTTTTTGGTTCCGGGCAGCGAGCGACTGGTAGCTGGGGAGGCCAACTGAAGCCTGACACGTCCGGATTCTCCGGAGTTGACACGCAGTGGTATTTTTCTTGCGTGGTGGTTCTTGAGGATGGCGGTCGTTTCGGCCACTTTGATTGTGAACCAGACATTGTGATCTATGGAAAGCAGTCACTGCTTCAAGGTGCAGGTGCATACAAGGAAGGATGAACGGTATCTATTCGAGTCTGATTTTGTTGCTGTGACTCCCAGCCCAGGATTTCCAGATGTTTGTTTGATGGTTGCGCAGGTTCCTTCACTTCTCAAAGGCCCTTGGAAGAGCTGTTCCGTCCTTGCCATGTCTGGTATTTGCGCCAGTGCCCGTGGTGTATCCACTGAGGTGACTTCCTCTGCGCTGTCAGCGTTGGCGGTTAAGAGAAACAGTGCTTTGCGTGCTCCAAGATCTTGACCGCATGACGTGTGTCAGGTATTTGCAGGAGGGGTGGTACCCTTCCTCGCAATCCGTCCACATCTTGCCCAAGTCGTGTTGGTCTGCGAGAGTGAGTCTTACGCTCCCGGTTCGGTTTTCGGCTCAGATATGCGCTGGCGCAGCCAGGCGCAAGGAGCTTGAAGCATGGAACTTTCAGCGCGCCAAAGGGTTCTTTCATTGGAAGAGGGTTGGAAGCCATGAAGCTCATAGAAAGGCCACGATGGTGAGCCCAATTCAACAGCAATATCACGCCAGCGCTCGTGCTGGATTGGTTTCCATGACATATATGCTTCCGCAGAAACAGCTTTGCTTGCGGTGGGCCGGATTCGGATGTCATTCTCTGACGTGAGGCAACTTTTGTTGCCTGATCCTCGGCACACCCTGCAGGATGCCAATGTATGTCGTCGCCGGAGTCCAAAGATTCAGAGAACGCTGAAGAGGCTAGCGAGGCGCGGCCAGCTGGAAGGGGTTGGCCTGATGTTTTGACAACGACTCGAGCTGTGATTGACTCATCAACATGCTCAGTCTACTCGCATGTCAGATACTTGCAAGGCTATCGGATTCAATGCATCCGGTCATGTAAAAGGACATCCGTTCTTATGCGATTGCATAAATCGCGTACACATGTACGCAAGTTGGCATGTGTCAAAATAGGGGATCCCCCTCAAAAAGTTGTGGTTTCTCTTTCAACCAACACTGAACCCTCGAAAATAAACACACACCCACACACCCACACGCCAACACACCCACACACCAACACGCCCACACACCCCACCCACCCACCCACCCAGCCAGCCAGCCACCCACCAACCCCCCCACCCCACGCACGCACGCGCACACGCACGCACGCACGCACGCACGCACGCACACACGCACGCACGCACGCGCGCGCACGCTCACAGACGCACACACTGGCAGAAGCACACGCACACGTGCGCGTGCGTCGGTGCACTGTTTTACCAAACCTGTGTGTGAAAGGGCGACTTTACGCACTTGCATACACATGTGCGTGCATACGCGCATACGTGTGCGTGTGTTTATATGATTACACACGCATCCAATTAGAACCTCTTTACCCTGTCTACTGCCAAGCCTCAGAAATAGAATGGTGCGAGATGATAGAGCTTGGCGATGCAGTAGATAGGAGAGGGTGAACAGAGATGTAAGGGAGAAGATCCACCAATTCTTTGCACATCCCCAAATGAAGGACGGATGTGCCGTAAAGAAGCTGCAATGTGATAAAGCTTAAGATGAAGGGAAGAAATTTCTAAAGGTTAAATGACTTGCCGATTCCTCGTCAAGCATGTGTCAGTCCTCAATCTGCAGTAGAGAGGAAGCGGAATTCTCATCAAGACACCGAACCTATCTTCAAGAAATCTCGTTACATCTTATTGTTTGCTTTTCAGAATGAGTAAACATATACACATGCCTATTTTGGTTGAAGACGCACACAAATCACATACGAGGCATGCAAACACATGAGTATACATACGCATGCACATACATATACGCATATACATATACATACAAAAACACATACGCATATAGACAGGCAATCTTGACTTTTGAATCTTGAACCTAAGTTTTTTTTCTTCTTCCCAACAGCTGAAAGCTTTGGGGTCTCAGCCCAGATAGGCTCCGGGGTGGCCCGGGGCGGCCTTGAGGTAAGGTTCCACGAGGGTTCCACCAGGGTTCCACTAGCGTTCCAGAATGTTTGCGCAAGGGCTGGGGGGTGATCCGAAGTGATTTGAAATAAGATTCCACGAGGGTTCCACGAGGGTTCCACCAGGGTTCCACCAGATTTCCACCAATTTCTTCAAGGGCCTGCGGGGTGGTCCGGGGTGGTTTGGGTTCCACCAATTTCTTCGAGGGCTGCGGGGTGGTCTGGGGTGGTGTGAGGACGGTTCCACGAGGGTTCCACCAGGGTTCCAGGGTTCCAACAGGGTTCCTCCACATGTCCACCAACCCTGGTGGAAAATTCGTGGCCACCCCGAACCACCCTGCAGCCGCTGGTGGAACCCTGCCTCAAACCACCCCTGGCCCTGCAGCTCCACCAACCAGGGTTCCACCAGGTTTGGCGAGGGCTGCGGGGTGGTCCGCGGTTGAGGTAAGTTTCCTTCGAGCGTTCCGTGAGGGTTGCACCTGCGAAGTGGCAAGGCTGGATGGTCCTCTCAGGTTTCACAAAGTTCCACAGAATTCCGCAAGGATTGCACAAGGGTTCCACAAGGCTCCACAAGGTTCCACAAGGGTTCCAGAAATGTTCTGCAAGGTTCCGTGGTTTGCCTTGGAGGGAAGCAGTGTGTTGTGCGCCTGCTGTCTGAAAAGCCATGGGATGTTTGCCATCGGATTTTTGAGGGCTCAGAAGATCGTTTTGCTCATGGGCGGAACACTAAGCAAAACCGAAACCAATGGTTTTTAGCACACGTTCACTGTTTTGTCACTTGCTCACTTGCTCAGGCAACGCGGCCCGAGATGTTGGCTTTGTGGCAAATCAGATCACGTTGCTGCGGGACTCACGGTGCAGCAGAGTAAATGCTGCGTTGCTGAGCACTACTTGGTGGGCTTTGGGTTCCAAGAATGGCTATGTAGTAAGGTTCCAAAAACGCTCCACGAGGTTTCCACCAGGTTCTGCAAAAGCTATGGGGCAGTCCTGAGGAGTTCACGCTGAGGGTTCCACGAGGACAGTTTGCAAGGTTCAACGGGCCCAGGTCGGGGCCCGATTGCACCGTCGGGGCCCGATTGCACCGTCGGAGCCAGATCGGCCCCGATTCTCAGTCGGGCCCCGTCAACTGTACCAAGCTGGCGTCGCCTAGATGTGCTAAATACAGTTGTAAGGTGGCGTCGCCTAGATTTGCTAAATGCAGTTGTAAGGCCGCATCCTAAGGAACGCCGGCGTTGAGCTATATATATTATATATAGCTGGGGTTGCACCACGGGACCATCAAACCCCGATCGCGCCCCGCTTGCACCGTCCGGGCCCCGATTGCACCGTCGGGCCCCGATCGGACCGCGATTGCACCGTCGGGCTTTGCTTTATAAAATTACAAGGCGGCATCCTCAGCAACACCGGCGGTGAGGTGGGTTCTGGGGCGTTCCGCGAGGATTCTGGGAGGGTGTGGTGCTGTTGGGAATATCGCCTGAGCTTTATTCTTTTTTATCAGGGATTTCCCAATACTCTTGGTGTTCAGTAAGATTCTCGGAAAAGCTCTCGAATCTTCAGTTGGAGGTTTTAGAACAACTTGAATAATTTTAGGGGGACGGATGATTCTCAGGAAATTTGTTGTTTGTGCAATCGTCAATATTGATTGAATCCTCAATCCAGTGGTAACGCGCTTCCAAGTGTTAGAAGAATTTGAATGTTGTTTGGGTTTGGCCAGGATTGACAATTCTCAGGAAAGTTTTCTGTGCAATCTTCAATCTTGAATCTTCCAGTCAGTGGTAAAACTTTCAAGTGCTTAGCGATCCACTGGAAGCACTTTCAAGTTATCAGTTAGACAAACTTTCAAGTGCTTTTGGTGAGCGGTTTGCTTCATGTCAGCTATGCTCATGTTGACCCTTTTCCAGAAGGTGTACAAAGGCAGGTGCAATGCTCAACAACACTTATTTTACAGAATTTATGAAGAGATTTTATATGTGTGTATGTACGTATATATATATATACATATGTACTCAGAATCACTTTCAGCCCGAAGGAGAATAGGGGCCACATAGCTGCGCGCCGCCGTTTAGCTTTGGATGGTGAGCGGAGGCTGGTTAACTCCGAGTTTCTGCTAGCGCGGTCGCTGGCCTTAGCCGCGCCCGTGGCGCCAGCTTTGATGTGAGCTACCTCACGGGATGGGACCTCTGCTACGGAAGAACGCACGGACCAGCCTATGAGGCCGGAGCCTGGAGCACACCAGGCTCATGACCCGCGACGCCGAGAAGAACCCTACGGACAAGCTCTTGCTCAACACGCTGGAGACGGTGTTCGAAGCCAGTGAAGGTGAATGAGCTGTTCTTCAAGGCGGTTTATCCTGTGGGCTCCCGAAGCAGATCTTCGCAGGATGGGACTTTCCATTCTGCTGGCCATGACGGGCATGTCAGGGTGTACCGCTCGACGTGAGTACGTCCGCGTGGGACGGCTTGCAAAACGCTGCATCAGGCTTCGGCCGAGGACCCCTACCTGTTGATCATTACCCAACCGTGTGGCAGCCGGGCGCGGCGCACAGCCAAAGACAGAATAGGCGCGTCGTGGAACAGCCGCTTGGTTCTGAGCCCCTCATGGAACCCAAGATGGCTGACGTTGGAGGGCTGCTGGAGACGGGTGGTTTCCGAGTGGACGGCTGCGAGGTTGGGGAACAAGCGCGCAGAGACGATCCCGCGCCAGAAGCCCTCCATGTTGGCCGCGGAGAGCGTTTTTCAAGGTTGCAGGCGACGTCGCCAGCGTCTCGCCACACACTGCCCAAGCAGCCACATCCGGGGCTGCGCGTCTCCATGAGCAAGTTGCGGATGTAGTCACCTCATGGGGATGGCTTTTCACGCTGCGAGGTTGAGCGACACACCCTTGATTGACCCAGAATGCTCTTCGCTCCTCCTCCCCTGATCTCGCCAACGATGGCTGTAGTTCTTGCCCGTCAGCATCTGGCTCACGAAGTTGCGGCGGTTGTGGAACTTCTGACACATTGTACAGGTTGGTGAGTGTGTCGCAGAACCATCTCCTCGGCTTGTAGCCTCAATTTTCATGTTACGTGCGTGAGGCCAAGTGCCGCTCCTCGCAGGTCACGGAAGTCTCTTGAGGCCACCATCAAGAAGGACGCTGGGCCAGTGATAAGATAAGAGAGTGAAGATTTTGGTACCCCAGATCAAGGAGTATCTGGGGTGCAGTGACTACGGTGGTTGCTGGCAGATGTGAGCAGAAGGAAGGGATCCGTGAGGGAAGGCGGAGGCGAAAGGCCAATGTCCCCGGTAGAGGCGATCCAGAGTCAGCCACCTTGACAGGTTGCCGCCCAGCCGAAAACGCCCTTTCGGCCTGCGGAAAGTGGCCACATAGCTGCCACGTCGCCGGTTAGCTTTTGATACACACACACACATGTATGTGTGTTCGCACTCCGTCGCCCCCCCCCGGCTTGAACCACCTGTCCACATTTGCTCCACTACTACCTCCACCTTCCAAGATAGAATGAACTTTGTTTTCCCTGTGCAAATAGAAGTTTACATGCGACTGATTTAGCTAGAATCCTTCTTTCGAGATAGTTTTAGAATGTGAACCTCTCTTCCCTTGAACTTTCCAACCTCGGAACTTCCTTATGCGGGCTTTGTTGGAGTTTACCCGAAGCTATATTTACATTTTCATGTAGTTCTTATTTGGAAAGGACTTGCTTATTTAAGCTGTAATTGAACATGCACACATTTTTGAAAACTGTATCCTTACTAAACTAGATTCAGAATTCCAAATCTAGTTGAAGTAAAATCCCATTAGGGTATCATATTGGGATATGTTGGAGGATTCCGGGCTCCAAACTATCAGCAACCCAAAAATGAAAATTTTGATAATTATAATTTCGAGATTCTAGCCAACAGGCAGTCAAACCAGGGTTCGGGGGGGGGGCGGGGCGGGGGTTGCGTATAAATATGTATGTATATGTATATATATAAGTTTATGCTCATGTATGTCTGCATTTTTCCGAACACTTGTCCACCAAAAACACGCACACAACCACCATCTCGAATTTGTTCAGGCTCCTGCTCTTTCAGCTGCTGCGTGGAAGCAACTGGAGACCGGACTGGTCGTCATCTCCTGGTTCGTGCTGAACATCTCCATCGCTAGCTCCACCAAGTGGATCTTTGTGCAGGGTAAAATATGCATTCAGGAGCTCGGAAGCAGCCAAACATGAGCATTCCCCGGCCGATAAGCTGTTGCTTCCCCACAGTTTTGGCTTTGTTGTTGATGCTGCTGCAACAGCAGCAGCACTAGCAGCAGCAGCACTAGCAGCAGCGGCGGCGGCCACCCGACGGTGGCCGCTTCGCCGGCATGAACTCCGCTTACGCGACCACAAAAGAAAGTGCCACTCAACACGATGCTCGTGCTGCCAGAAAGTATTCAGTTCTTGCTGCCTTGAAGCGATTGCGCACCTGACTTGCTCGTGGCAGGACACAGGATGTCAAACGTACAAGTTTCCAATCGCGATCACCGTGCCTCCGATGCAGTCAGGTCGGACATCTATTTCAATGCCCCCTACAGGGCTACTGATCAGTCCTCATTTTCCAACTCGGACAGCAAAAAAACATCTGAGCCGGCAGTTTCCTTGGCAAACTGGCGTTGACATCCAAAAAAACATAATGGATGGCTGGAACGAGGGACGAGGTATCGGCATGTTTTACCCCGAGGTCATTCACATGCTCTTCTCATGGGTCCTTTGCCGCATCTACATCTTGACTGTGCGAGGCGGCGTCGCAGGCGGGGGATCAGCAGACTGACACTACATGCCGAGCCGGGCTGTTGCTGGGGATGTGTGAGGCAAGGCACCATTTGCTCAAAGAAAGAGTTCCCTTGTAAGTTGTAGGGTATGGCTTGACACGTTTGCAGCATGTGCCCATGTGCAGTCATGTCCCCTGCTCTTAGCAAGCTTCTTGCTTTGTGTCCGCAGGACACTGTGGCAAGAGCCAGGGCTTGACGTGGAGGCAGCAGCTGAAAGAGATAATGCCCCTCTCTCTGTGCTTCGCACTCTCAGTTGCCATGGGTAACTTGCAGCTTGACGGCATTGGCACCTCAAAATGGAGTCATTGTAATTGCCGCAGTGGAGGGGCCAAGTAAAATAATGAGCTTGGCATGCGTTTTGCCTTGCGTTGTTTGCCGCTAGATTGCTATACATCATGGCCTTGTCCTTTCAACCACACACTTGTATTTAGGCAGTTTCGAGGGATGGTGGAACAAGTGGGGTGCATGAACAGATTCCTGTATTCTGGCAGCCATACGCACAATGTTGAAAAGCCCCAGCCAATCAAAGTGGCGTCGCGAGTTACGTGCAGGAAATTCTTGCCGTCGTGGATGCGTGTGATTAGTCAAATGAGCCCGACAGTCGGCCAGGCAGCTGTGGGCCCGACGCAGGATGTGATGAATTCTGATGCTTTGTATTTCGGGTTTGACCACTTAGCTTGAGGCTCGTCGTTTGTTCAGATAGCTTGCGCAGCATTTGGGGGTGTGATCGATGGGGCAATGAATTTGGAAAGTAGCATTCTTGCACTTGCATCTCTAATTCTGGCGTCATTGGTTGCATGTTCTCTTCGAATGGAAATTGTTTTTTGCCTTGACATGCTCCGTAAGAATGCCTTTTGCTTGATTCAGCCTACCAGACCTGGCAGCGAAGACGAATCGCAACTCAACCCTAGCCAAGCGAGACGAAACTGATTCGAGTAGCGATTTGACAAGTTGGACCAAGAAATATATTTCCAAAGCAGGTGCTGCAAGACTACTAGGGTAGCTGAGCGAGGTTTCTACATGTCCAAGCAGACTTGTACGTGTTCACCTCGCTTTTGCGACTTTGATCAAGGTCGTTGAAGTACATCTATCCATCCTTCAACCAGATGCTGGGCTGCTTGGTTGAGATTTTGCTGTTTGCGAGGGCTTCCCATCACTCTTGCCCAGAAGCTGTCCAGTCACATCATACAAGATGGTTTCGAGGAATTGATGCTGGGTCTACTGTCACTCCCTTGATGAATCCTGGTCGGAGTCTCTCGCATGGTAAGGCTCCATGTCACCTTTGATCACGGTGCTTTTGGCGGTGCTGCTGCAGCGGAAGTCCTTCCCGCTGAAGACCTGGCTGTCAATGCCCGTGATCTGTGCTGGCCTAGCCGTGTGCAGCTTGAAGGCCATGGGGAGCGGGTACAACAAACATCGGTAAGTGCAACTCGAAATAGCTCGTTTTGTTCCATCTACAGCTGTGCACACTTGGCTTACGTCGTTTGTTTTCTTTGGGGCTTTCTTTTTCCCGCTGAGCAACCTCCTGCCCTGGCAAACAATGTTGCGTGAACCTCGGGCAAGACTTTGCACAACCACTTTCAGCCAAAAGGGCCAGGTTTGCTCCACGATTGTATGAAACAGGATGGTAAGGCTGGCAACATGAAGCAAAGGCTTCTCTAAGACAACATGTGCAACGCAACCTGGTGGAGAGAGGCTTCAATGTGAGGTGGCCGGCTGATGAAGTGCTGTCTGCTTGGCTGGTTGGGTAGAGGGCCAAAGCTGCAATATGCTTGGAGTCGCTCAAACCTATGCTCAAGATCCCCTGCAGCTACAGCTCTGAATTCTCTCTAGGTGCCCGGCCCAAAAGCCCCAGGCGTGAAAGTCCGGGATAGCAAGGCGATGTTGCGGGCGCAACCACGTGAGCTCTTTGTGCATTGCGCGAAGGGCGCGATCGGCCCCTGGCTGGGCGCTGCAAAGCGACAAAAAGCGCTTGCGCCTGGTACTGCTGCGCTTTGTTCGCCCAGCCCCTTTCGAAGTGTTCGCGACAAGGCGCGTGCGTGTTTCTGGCTAATGCCGCTGGCCTGACGAAGTCTCCTCTGGCCCTTCTGCTCAGGTCAGGAGTTGGGCGCTTTGTATGGTGAATTTTGATGCCCCGCGGCGATTCAGGGCAACAGGAAGCTCCGTCCTTTTGACGACTGGCGTTCATCAGATCATAATCCAGTTGTGATTATTTTCACTTCCGCCAATTTCATCCTTGCTAGCCTTGCGGTGAAATGAACAAGCGGAGGGCCAGGAGTCATGGGCTGCTCTTGGAACAGACGACGTGTCGTCGGCGCACCGCTCAGCAGTTGTTGTTCAGAGAAGTCGCTGCCTTTGCCTTCCTTTTTGTTTGATTTGACCAAACGATGCAGCGGCAGACGCAAGAGATCAATATTCACGAGCTGATAGAAGACGCGCTGGGAAGCGAGCTGGAGGGCGGAAGTTTCTAGAAGGGATAGAAACATGCCCCTTCCCACCACGAAACCTGTACTCGACCTTGCGCACGACATCTGTACTTGACCTTGAGAAAGTGCTGCGCCTGCCACGAAGCCCGTACTCGACCTTGTGAAAGTGCACGACCCAGCAGTTCGCATGTGCACTCCAAGAGAACAAAATGCGGTGCCTGCCACGAAATCTGCACCTGACCTTGCGAAAGTGCCCCGCCTGCCACGCAACTCAATCCTTTTCTCGGCCGTGCCACTCACCAACTTTTCGCGACCGTGGCGGGACCGTGGCGAGCCCGTGTCGAGACCGTGCGCAAGCAACCCTTCGTGCTTTGTGCATGTGGGTAACACATGTGGGTCACTCCACTTTGCGTATTACGGAAGTTTTCTAAACTGCCTTTGGCGAAGTGTTTTCCGCCTGGCTGGTTCCCCGGCTTCAGCTCAACTTGTTTCAAGAAGGGGTGTGTGCAAGGAAACGTCAGCGCGAGCACTACTGAGTGATTGAAGATGTGAGGGGGATATAGTATAGTCATGTTTGCGGACAGAATTCGATAGTCAACGCCTGGGAGTGGGCAGAACTCGACTGAACCTCTTAACATCGAAGCATCCGCATCCTGCGGATTATTGAGCACGACTCCAGACAATCGAGAACATTTGGCCCGCACAACATGTATCCGTCAGCTCCCTTCCCTGGAGTTCCGACTGTGCAAAACGCAGCCCGGAGCTCCAGTCGAGCTGGGCAAAACGCATTCCGCAAACCGCGCCAGGAGCTCAACTTCAACGCGCTGGGGGCCTTCTACTGCACGGGCGCCACGGTTCTCCGGGCCCTGAAGTCCCTAATCCAGGGCAGGCCTGCAAGGGTCTCCCGTTGGCCTGAGGAAGCCGAACGCCAGCATTTGGACTTGTGAGAAGGGCCTTAGACACGGCCACTCCTGTTTCGTGGCTTTTTTTTCTGGCTGGTGCGCGGTGTTCCTGGAGAACGGTCTCCAAGTTGCAACCCTTCGCAGGTTGCTGTCGCCTTCCCACAAGCTGGATTCGGCGCCTGGGCAAATTGAGATCCAGGATGGTTGATTGAAAGCTGTGGACACTCTCACAGCGAAATAGGCATACATAACACACTGGAAGCCTGAAATCGCACGCTTTTCGCACTTGGCCCGGCTGAAAAGCGCAATATGTCTCGGAGCTTTGGTTTGTAGGACTGGACCAGTCTCAAGGCGTCATGTCATCCCTGGCGCCAAGGTGACACTTCTGCCAGGGGCTCAGCCAAGAGAGGTGGACAGCCAGCTGGCCGCCACTGTCACGTCAGCCCTTGTCACGACTTTTGAGTCGTGCGGCATGACCAATGAGCATTTGCCTAGATGGATTTCTTTGCAGCAGCTTCTGTGCGTGGTGTGGGAATGTCAGATTGGGCACAAGTGTGTGACATATGAAGAAACGCGCAGCACCGACTACACCGAAAAGGATTTCACTTGCTGCTGGAGCTGGTGATTCCCACTAGCTAGGCATCGGGTTCGGAGCCATTGTACGGCATGCAGAGAGCGCAGTCTCAGTTCGGTTCCTCCAGCCATAGTCACTGCAATAGTGGCCCCAGGACACACAAGCAGAAGCAAGCAAGCAAGCAAGCAAGCAAGCGAGCAAGCAAGCAAGCGAGCAAGCAAGCAAGCAAGCAAACAGACGAATAGGACAATCAACCAACAAACAACCAAATCAAGAATAACACAAGCCAAGCAAAGCACGAACGAGTGATCGCAAAAACAAGCAAGCAAGCAAACACGCCAGCCAGCCAGCAAGCAAGCAAGCGAGCGAGCGAGCGAGCAAGCAAGCAAGCAAGCACGCACGTACGCGCACACGCGTGCGCGTACGCAAGGAAGGAAAGAACACTGCAGGCCCATGTTGAATGTTGCAACAGTGCGTGACAACGTGCAGCCTTAGAGCCTTCTCAGGTACTACATGGCCCCCATGGCAGCAGTGTGGCTTTCTGCTTTGATGCTCCTAATGGAGGTGCGAAGTTCGCAGAGCGTTCACTTATTAGACCCATGTCCGCACAGAGGGTAATTATGCAGGCACACGAGGCTATGCGATTGAGGCACTGCATTGATGATCAGGGCTTCATATCACCTCATTTGATTTCCATACCCTCCCCCCCCCCCCGTGCGCAGGGCGCTGAGCCGATACTGCTGCTACTCGCAGGTTTGTATTCCGAGCAACTTGGGCGTCAACTGTCAAGGCTGCTGGATGATCCAAGAAGGTCCAAATGAAGATGCCTAGGCGCTTGTTTGCTGGGACTTGGGGGGCGAGTTTCACTCACCTTTTGGTCCCCTGTCGACCCCCAACAGTCAGCCGTGTTGTGCCTTGACCTTGCGCGCACGCTCGCCCTCAAGCAACAAGAACCCCCCCAGAAATGGACAAAGTGCCTTTGCCGCATCTCTGATGACCTTTGTCCATGCCTTCCGGCAGGTCCCCTTTTGGCCCATGGAAAAGCTCCACCGAGGCCCGGGACCCGCGTCACCGGCGGGGGCTACGTGCTGATGCTGCTGGTGATCTCCGGCCCCTCGGCCTCGGAGCTCTCGGAGCTCGGGCATCGCGGATCGGGCAAAAGCGACGCTGAGAGAGAAAGAGGGAGAGAGGGAGAGAGGGAGAGAGCCTCTCAGATTTTTCCCCCCGTTTTTGGCGGTGAACCTGCCAGTTCGAAGTTCGAAGCCGCCCCCCCAAAACCCCCCAGCCGAATTGAAAGGCTGCACCTGTGTTGGGCCATGGATACTTGGAACTGGGCCTTGCAGAATTTTTGCCCGGAGTTTGCCGCATATGGCGGCCATGGGGGTCGCTGGAAGCAGTTGTCCACAGTGCAATGTTCCAGTCCACGGAGTCCATTCTGTTGCACTTGGTTCTTCCATGTATATATATATATATATACATATATATATATATATTTTCCGGCTAGCATGGCGGCATTCGACATTCGATCGGGAGGCTTGAATGCTTGCCTGCTGAACATTGCCAACTTCTTGGTCACTTCCTACACGAGCCCGGTGAGGGGCCCCAGGGCTCTCGAGGTCCCGCCTTCCGCCAGGCTTCGACTGGGGTCGTTTCGGGGGGCTCAAGCAGATGGCTCCAGGCCGTGGTTGTCAAAACCAATGGGATCCCATTTTGGGGTA